AACAAAGAAAGGAATGGAAATAGTGCATAAAAATATAATAGAAACAATAGAAGCAATAGGAATGGAAGTTAATGTAAGTAAAAGTGGAGTAATGAAGAAAGGAAATATAGAAATACCAGATAATATGAAAGACATTCCAATAATAGACTCAGAACATCAATATAAGTATTTAGGTGTTTATCAATTCACAAGAAATGATGATGTTGGATGCATAGAAAGAATAAGTAAAAGTATAGAAGAAGGAATAAAAGAAAACAATAAATGGAATGACAGTAGTATGAATTATATTAACCGAATTAATACAGAAATAATTCCTAAGTTCACATATAGTGCATCTGTAGTTAAATAACCAATTATGAATCTGATTGAAATAGATAAAATGATAAGGATAGAAGTGAAAGAAAGATTATTGGAGCATGAATGTGTAGTAGTAGATTATATGTAAACAGAAATAAAATGGGAGATGGAATGAAAAGCATTAGAGACGAATATGCAATTGAATTAATAAGAACTATTTTGTATTACACATGGAAAAGAGGAGATAGAATAGGAGACATGATACAAATAAATGAAAATAAGAATGGAATGTGGAATAGATTGTATAAAGCATGTGGAAAAAGAATAAACAAAGAAGAATTTAGGAAAATAGTAGAAGAAGAAAGAGGAAAACGGATAAAAACAGAATAATCAAGTATGTGAGAGAGAAGTTCCAAGAAGAATATATCAATAAATGGAGAAACAAGAAAGTAAACAGTGAAATATTGAAAGGATTTGAAGATAAAACGATGGAACAGAAGAAAACAATTAAAGTATGGAAAGGAATTAATGTTATAAGAAAAGCATATATACAAATAAAGAAGATGAAAGAGAAAGCAACAAATGTAGGAGTAAGGAAAGCATGAATGAAACATGATATGAGATATGCAATGTGTCCAATGTGTAATAAGATAGCAACAATAGATCATATTCTTTTGAATTATATAATCACTAAGAAAACACAAATGAATAAACATGATAGAATATGAGAATATATATGGAGGAGTTTAAAGATTAAATACCAAATATATGAAAACAAAGAAAAGATGAAGATGAGAGAAGAAGAAAATACAAAGAAATTAATAATAAGGAAAGAAGAATTAGGAAAGAATGAAAGAAGAATAGAGAAAGATAAAATACTTATAGTTTAGAATCAAGAAATAGTAACAGAAGTGAAGACAAATTCATAAAAGAATAGACATTTATGTCAGAGACTTAAATAAGAAAGAAGCAATGATTATGGATATGACAATAGTAAGAGATAAAAACATAAGTAAAGCATTTACAGAT